ATTTTGAAAATTTGCTTTAGAGGGAGACTTTTTCAACAAATTTAAAGGAATTATTCTTTTAGACGAAAAAAAGATGATATGAAATTTGGATTTATGTAAATTATTATTTAAATAATTTTTTAATTTATTTTCCAAAGAATTTAAAGCAAATCAAATTCTATAGATATCAAGTATAATTTACATTGAACAATTAATAAGATTATTAGATTAAATGGCTGAATTAACTAAGAGTTCTTATTGGACAGAGAGGAACAAAAAATTACCAATGAGTTAGTGTTAACAACGTAAAGAAAATTTGGTTAATTTGAGCACAAATAAATACTATTCTTTAAATGCATAATTACTTTTTCACTTAATGGGAGCTTATTATATTCTGCTTGTTCACTTACATTAAGATTTTGGGATGTTAGATTTATTATAAATTATAATTGCTTTAACAGATATTTTATTTTCACCTGGAGATATATAATTTGATTCTATTGCGTTTTAACAAAGTTCTAACTTTGGAACTCGATAGAAGCAAGTGAACCTTTATTTGTATTTTAGTCTTTTAACGATTTGAAAATTCTACCTACCAATGCTAATTTGAAAAAATAAATTATTGTTTCTTATGTTCAGATAATCAGTTTATTAAGCTAATAATTATTTATTTTAGCAAATAATTAATGCCTCCTCTCAAATGTGGAGAAACGAGAATTCTTTTTAACATTCTGGAGAAAAAAGATCCTCAATTATTACTAAAATAAAACTAATTTATAAAACCTTTTAAAATTTTCCAAATTAAATTGCTTTTGATTCTTAAATTATTAAAATTTTCAACTATTAATTCATAGATAAATAAAATTTGGCTCATCATTTTTAATTTCGCGTTTATTTTGAACCAAAAAACTCTTAAATATATCTTTGTGATATCAAAATATCATTTTAATTTGCAAATCTTCAGGTTAATTTTTCTGTCTGCCATTTTTAGAAATTTACAATGAAACATCTTATTTATTTTGATTAATTTCTTACCAATACATATTTTTCCTTAAAAAATTTTGAATCAAATTTCTAATATTTTGAAAGTATGAAAATTAAAAAATAGAATATTCACATTAATATAAAATTATGTTATTCAACTAGTTCTTTGATTAATATTGCAATATGAGTTTAAAAGTTAAATAAAGTTTACGAAATTTCTTTTCTATTATTTTAAATAATAATTTCCTTCCTTTTTCATTTGGAAATTGATAAATGGGTATTAGTTGTTCAAGCCAATTACAGAAATCAAAGGAAGTTAAGTAAACCATTGACTAATGCAATGGCTTAGCTTTTGTTAATGTGCCATAAAATAATAATATTAATGAGTCAAACTACTCTCAAGAATACGAATGCCTGCTTTTTGATTCTTATTAATATAAATGGCTGAAAGTAAAATACTAAATCAGAATTATTAAAGATAATGAGATCATATACTTTTATAATGGATAAATAATTAGATTGTAAATTTTTTTTAAATATATAGAATAAAAACTTGTTTATCTTTGGAGCCTAAAATATTTAATAATTTAGAATAAATCTAATTTCTTGAATGGTTTGGAAGATATGGAAAGAATTAGAAGAAGGTTGATAAATGGGCTGCTAATTGGAATGGATATATTCTTTAAAAAGTTGGAGGTTATTACACAGAAAATGATTAAAAGGTAGGTTTTTGGAAAGAAATAGTAGAGAATTATTGCAGGTAAATGTTAACTTTAAAACATCAACTAGTAAGGTTCTTCTATTTGAGGAAGGGGAGTACCATGATAATTTAAGAATAGGCAAGTGGAAATATATTTACTAAAATAAAATGATGTATTGTCTCAGCATATTATTAGTGGAGGTGGATCTTTTTAATTTCGTTAAAAAAAAATTGGGAAGTGGGTAGAATTATGGGAAAACTTTTGTGATTATACTTAAGTCATTTAAAAAGGTGAATATAATATAAAGGGTATGAAAGTAGGGTAATGGGATTTTTTCTATTGTAAGTGGGGAGAATTGGAATATAAATAAATGTAAATATAGTATAGTATATTATATCAGGGGTGGAGGATTATATGATAAAGAAGGAATTAAGATTGGCAAGTGGATAGAGCTGGATAAAGGGTTTAGGAACATTAAATAAGTTACTTGTAATGGGAAATATAATGTAAAGGGTATTAAGATAGGTAGATGGGATTTTTATTATTGTAAGTGGGGAGAATTGGAATATTAATAAATGTAAATATAGTATACTAATAATATGGTAGAGGTGGTGGATCATATAATAAAGAAGGAATTAAGATTGGCAAGTGGATAGAGTTGGATGAAGGGTTTTGTGGCGGTCTTTATTCTAAATAAGTAGTTTATAATGGTGAATATAATATGGATGGTATAAAGATAGATGGATGGGAGATTAATTATGATGATGGACACGGAATATATAGATAAATGTAATAAAAGTAATAATTTATTAGTGGTGGAGGATTATATGATAAAAAGGGAATTAAGATTTCAGGATGGATTGAATTGGATGAATGTTTTAGCAGTGTTTAATGTGTCGTTTATATTGGAGAATATAATACAAGGGGTATCAAAATAGATAGATGGGATATTAGTTATGATAAGAATGGAGATGGAAGATATAGTTAAATGTAAAAATAATATAAAAAAAAAAAAATATCTTAGGGGAGGAGGATCGTATGATTATTAGGGGTTTAAGATTGGTAGATGGATAGAGTTGGATGAAAGGTTTTATTGTAAATAAATTGTGTACAGCGGTGTATATAATCTGAAGGGTACAAAGGTAAGTAGATGGGATATTAACTACTAGAAGAATAGAGGAGGGAAGCATAAATATATGTAAATATAATATAAGTAAAGGAACATTTTAGTGGTGGAGGATAATATGATAAAGATGGAATTAAGATAGGTAGATGGACAGAGTTGGATGAAGGGTTTTATTATAATAAACAAGTTGTTTATGAAGGTTAATACGATTTGAAGGGTTTAAAGATAAGTAGATGGGATATTTATTACAAGAAGATTGGAAATGGAAGATATAAAAAAATGTAAATAAGCTTAGGTAATAATTTGTTAGTGGAGGAGGATCATATAACAAAGATGGAACTAAGGTTGGAAAGTGGGTGGAATTATGGGAGAAGTTTTGTAATGATGCTTAAGTCACTTTTAAAGGCGTATATAATAAGAAAGGTTTGAAGACAGGTAAATGGAATATATGTTAATGTTATCAAGATGCAGAGGGAAAGTATAAAAAAATGTAAATATGATATGGTGATTTTTAGCGGTGGCGGATCATATGATTAAGAGGAGAATTAGAAAAAGATAGGAAGATGGATAGAGTTGGATGAAGGGTTTGCAAGTTAGAAATAAGTTACTTATATTGGAATATATAATATGAAAGGTATAAAGATTGGTACTTGGGAGGAAATAGATATCAGAAGTAAAGAGAAATTTGGAGAAGCACAATATGATAATTGAATAACATTTAAAAATAATATAATCAATTTAAAAAAATCAAATGATATAAATTTGTGTTTCAAATGTTTTTAGTTTTAATTGTTTGTTATAGATATTAAGGTTTTTTTATTTGAATCTATGTGGATAAAATCCTATGAAAACTCGAATTTTTAAGGAAGTTACCACTTGGTGGACTTGAGGATTGATACTTCTTGATGAACAAAGAAAAAATTATTAAAATGCACAGTTATAACAACAAAATTTTTTTTTTATTAAGTCCAAGAAAAAAGAATTTTGAATTTATATCAATAATAAGTACAGAAATAAATATTCAAAAAATTCTTTTAATAAATATATTGATGCA